ATTTTGCGAATGGAGCTGTTCATGAACCGAATTGTTCGTGAACAGAAGCGTTCGTGAACCGAGGTACCACTGTACTATATTTTTACAGTCATTCTGAAGCATGCTTTGGGTGTCCAATCAAAACACTGCACAGCCTTAAGACACACATTCCAATAATGGCATATATTTGTCGTTAATGACTCCAACATCTCTCTTACGATGTGAGAATCCGTTTCTTTCATTCTTTTTTTAAATGTTACAGTTTACACCCCAATTTTCCCTTTGCATGCTCAAGAGGCCAATAAGGCATAAATCAGAAAGGAAGGTAGCATCACCCTGGATCAGTGCAGACTGATGAACAATATAAAAGTCTTTGGATGAAGATGGTCATTCTGGTTGGAGTCAAAGCGATCCATGATTGCTGCTTACAATGACAGTTAGGCTCCCTTGCCAGCTGCAAGGATTGGAGATTGCTTCTTTGCCCATTGTGGATAGATATTTATCCTGCCTTTGCTCAAATTGGGAAGGAGGATTGATGATTTTTTTTTTTTAAGAAGCCTGATTTGACATTAAGGGATGTTCATTGTCCAGATTTGGCTACATCACAAATGGAAAGGGAAAACATCTGTGATCAACCATGCAGTATGCCATAAACAGAGGAGATGGGTATGGTGTGGTATTTGAGGCTATTTCTGAGGATCCTACTCTTTTGACTATTACAAATCCTTGTAATGTATTCATTAACCTCAAATTGATTTTTGTCTGTCATGTCTTGTCTGATTCATGTATGTAAGGCAGTACCAGTAGTCCAGAAGGCAAGTAAAGATAGACAGACAGACACACTTTATAGTTTGATCTAGTATAGCTGTTATTTCTGTTTACTTTATCTCTTAACATATACATCACATAATATGCTGTCAAAGCCAAGTGGACAAATGATTATAGCCATCACCTATGGGAGACAGATTGGATTAATAAACCATTGGGTTGTCTCCAGAGAAACCTTTGGTTTGTGGCTGAGCAGATACATCTAGAAGGTTGTTCGGCTAAAGGGGGAAAAAAAAGAACTGTGAAAGTGGATGAGGACTAGTGACAGATGAGGGAGTGGTAAATTTCTCCGAAATAGCAAGTGGAAGCAATTTTTTAAAAATCCTGAAAATTCATGCATACGGATATTGTAAGAAATATTGGAGGATCAAGAACTTGAACCAAGTAACCAAAAGTTGAAATCAGGTTCACCCAAAATGAACACTCAGGTCTCTGAATCTTGTTAAATGCGCACCCCTCTGAACTTGCTGACTTTGATTCTACACAGAGGCGGTGACCTCAGATACGTCCAAGTTGGGTTGGACAGCTATTTGTTGGAGATGCTCTAATGTGGATTCTTACATTGAAAAGGGGGTTAGACTTGATGGCTTCAGTGACATCTTTTAATGCTATGATTTTATGAGATGTTGAGAGATAGAAGTTCTGCACTTGATTCACTTGTGAATTTAGTTAGTGCCTGAGGCAAGATAAAGAGTCTCTCTTCACTATAGGCCTACCCTCATGTTCAGACTTACGATATGCTTTTGGCATGTTTCTATCTTGGGTTTCACTCTTGATTATACACACACACACACACACACACACACACTTCAGACTCTTAGGAAAATGTGGGGAAATACATTGTATGAAATCTGCTGTTTATTGTAGGACATTAAAATTATAATTCATGGAATGCTTGAACTAAGCAGTCTTTAATGCAAGCAATAAGGGAACATCCCCTTGGTTTTGTATTCTGCAGAGACCCATCTATGCAATTCTGCTTTCAAAATACATTTCATCAGATTTTTTAAAAACCATGAAATTGATGTCCTTTTTTTTTCTCCTTCACTCTAGGATTTTAAGTCTGGCTATGGCATTACAATCATACCTATGAACGTGGCTAATGTGAAGCAGATAGATCGCACAGCAAAACAGTGTTTCGAAATAATTACACCTTATCGAAGCTTTAGGTAAGACCAGTGAATGTTTGTTTTTAAAAATGTGCGGCAGCATTTTTGGGGAACAGCTGAAACCACCCACTACATGAAATAATGGATATTTCGGTATTACAAGGAATATTTATAGTGAATAATTTTGCTGCGAATTGGGTTGAGCAATAGTCTACTTCCTTCTGTTTTTCTTATCTCAACTTTTTTGCCTGCTATTTTTATTCTTTTCCAGTTGCATAATGTTTCTTTCCCCAAAAGGAAATAGTGTGATCGGTATGTATATAGATTAGTATGAGTAATTTATGCCAGTGTGCAACAGAAACTCCTTTCTAAAGTTGGAGGTAACTTTTCACATAATCTCAGTAAAGACTCAAACGTGTCTTTAAGATAATATAGATGAAGAGGTAACCAGTTAGTAGGAAGGGTATTTTTTTTTTCACTCCCCAGTTCTGCATATATTGGCAAAGTCAGTTTTGTCCAGCCAGTCTCCAGGAGTCAACACTGACTCGAAGGCTCATCATCACCAATAATGATAAATAAAAATCAGGACACTTTTTGGTGGAGAAGAAGCCCATTGAATGTTCATTGGTTCTTCTGATGTCAGGCTCTTCATGGAGCTAAGAATCAAAGCTGCGTTCAGCTTTTTTTCCCTTTTTTTTTTCAATGCCTTTGAGTCAGTATTGACTCCTGGTGACTGCATGGACAAGTCCCAGCAGTTTTCTTGGCAAGATTTCAGAAGTAGTTTGCCATTGCCGCCTTCTTCCTAGGGCTGAGAGAGTGACTGGCCCAAGGTCAGCCAGCTGGCTTCGTGCCTAAGGCAGGACTAGAACTCATGGTCTCCTGGTTTCTAGCCTGGTTTCTTAATCACTACATCAAACTGGCTCTGAGGCTAAATCAATGTATTTCAGCTTTACTGCAGAATCTGAGAAAGAAAAGCAGGATTGGATTGAAGTGCTGCAGCAGTCCATTGCAGAAACTCTCTCTGACTATGAAGTAGCTGAGAAGATCTGGTTCAATGAATCGAACAGGACTTGTGCTGATTGTAAAGCTCCTGATCCTGACTGGGCATCCATCAATCTCTGTGTCATCATTTGCAAGAAGTGTGCAGGTAATTAAGAAACTCTCAGATCCTACTGAACCAGGATGGCAACTTTAAAAGTAGTGGCATGTATAAAACAGATTTATATTATTTTATTATGGGTTTTGAAATCAGTTTCATGATTTGGACTTGCGTGTACTGTTCATGTTCGTGGCCACTGAAACTATGGTAGCACTGCGGTTGTAGATACAACTAGATGACATTGACTGTCTGGACCAATTACAGTTAGGATTGCTCTGTTTGTTACCTGACAACCAGCAATTCTGTCCTGGAAGGATTTAATTTGTGCTTGTCTCACCCCATCCAGATCCTATATCCTCCAGGCCCTGGTTCAGGACTTTCATGGCATATCTGGATCTAACTGGGGTGGTAAGATGCAGTGGTACCTCGGGTCACGAACTTAATTCATTCCGCGACTCTGGTCGCGACCCGAATCACATTTCCCCATAAGGTTCAATGTAAATACGGTTAATCCGTTCTGAACCATATGTATTTTTTTTTTAAACCACAAAAATATGAAACAAAGTACAGTACAGTACGAAGAGAGAGAACGCTAACCTTGCTCGAGGCGACTTCTGGAGTGGAGGACAGGAAGGCGGGTGGGGAGGCGGTTACTGCTTGGAGGGAGAGCCCCCCCCCCTACAGGAAGCCACGACCACGTGTCACAGCAGGGAAGATGGCCACGGGTCGTGTTCGTCACCCGATGCGGAGTTCGCGAACGGAAGCAAATTTTTGCAAACGGAGCTGTTCATGACCCGAATTGGTTGTGAACAGAAGCGTTCGTGAACCGAGGTACCACTGTATAACTGAATGTCATCAACTTATTGATGACACCTTCCCCCACAATCATAGATGATCTTTTACAGCATGTAGATGTTAAATAATATCATGTACACGATAAATAACACTAAGCTGTGTAAGAGCTCACATTGGGAAGCCTAGAATTTTGAGTACTTCTGCCCCATGACCACTGACTGTAACTGCTCATTCAGGTAAGAGTAGAATCACCATAAAACTGTGTTCCAAACTCATAACCCTGGCAGGCAATCCAGGAGGATATCATGGTCAACGATATCAAACATTTCTGAGAGGACTAATAGGACCAAGAGGGATTATACTCCCTCTTCTAGTTCTTGATGAAGGCAATCTATCAGAGTAATCATTGCCATTTCTGTCCCATGACTGGGACTGAATCTTGAATAGAAAGGATCCAGATAATGTGTTTCCTCTAGGATCCTTGTAGCTAGTTTTCCATCACCTTCTCAACCATCTTCCCTAAAAAGGGAAGGTTGCAGACTAGACGAAAGTTGTCAAGGATGGTTAGATCCATGGAAGGTTGATTATCTCCCTAATCCAACTCCTCATGACCTGCCCAACCACTGAAGGAATCAGGATGAATATGGATCAAGCACACAGGTGCTGGATGTTGTAAATGTAAGTAAAATTAAAATGAATGCCTGTCTTGTCCAAACCACTTTGGAACCAAATGACTTGTTCATTGTATCTGGGGAATATGGAATGTGCACTCAAAATCCACTAAAATGAGAGTCTGTCAAATCAGAATTTTATCATATTCAGGGATGTGTCTGGGTTTCATTATGAATTTATTTGTCATTTACTTTAGAAGACACCCAGCTCCTCAAAGAATCTGGGGTGGTGTAGAGCATTAAAAGCAGTAAACACAATAAAACAAAGGAAAACCAATGTATGTCAATAAGAGAAAACATTCAAACTAACATATATCAGTTGGAGGCTCAGCACCTATCTTATCCCAAGGTCTGGGGAAAAGACCTGATTTTCAGAGATTTTTTAAATACAGAGAGAGTATGGGGCCCTGTGGAGCTTCTGGGGGAGGCTGTCCCAGAAGGCAGTTTAAATTAGGACAAATAGACTGAATCTTGATATTGTATTGGTTGGTAGAAAGTATTGCTTGTCATTCAAAGCCTGATACTGAGATTAGGATTCAACTTGTTTGGTAAGCATTGTGCTCTTCTTGAAAGATCATCTTTGTAGACAAGTTCCTTCACTAATTTGGCAACAATTACCAGGTCCATCATGGTGTCACTTTTAACTAAGTGCAACTGTATATAAGGGTATGCTTAAAGTCAATCTAAAGCTTCAGTTGCCTAAAACCTGACACCTAAACCGCAATTTGGTGCACACTATCAAGGTCTTATCACCACAATATTGAAAGATGTACATTGCTACCAATTCTTTTGTAGGGTGACCTCAAAATATTATTCTTAAACTTGAAAGTGAGGATGGCATTCTTTTTCTGTTCATGACTGCATTTTCTTAAGAAATAGGCTGGGACCTGCATGAGGGTAATTAATGAGCCCAAATCAATCAACCCTCCCTTTTCCCCCTCTTCTTTTGCTGTAGTATTCTCCCTCTGCTTCCTTGTCTTCTTCCCGACTTCATGTTCCCAAGGAAGGAATGCATCAATTTTCCTCCTGGTAAATTGATTATTTACTGAGAGCTTTTGCAATTAATCTCAGGACTGCATGAAATTAAGTCAAAGGCTGTGAGTGGCCCACCTCTGCTATAGAGCTTTACATGGCTTAAGCTTGGCTGTCTGAAAACCCATTTTTCTCATTATGATTAAGCTCTGCAGGAGAGGCCTTGTTGATTAACATCCACATGGTTTTAGATAGACATGCTCGAGTCAGCAGCACTTGTTCAAATTGCATTCTCTGATTATAAGCCCTGGAAGAGCTCACATGTGTTCACTTGTATGTGCAAGCATTCTTTAGTGTCTGTAATAGAAATTTTATCAAACTTTTCTGCTTCATGCATATTCGTGTACCTGTTGTCTCTTTGGGTTTATTTGCCGTTAAAATCCTCTCCTTTATTGTTAACCTTCAAGCATGCTTTATTTTTCTGTTTGTCCCAGGGCAGCACAGATCGTTAGGACCCAGAGATTCAAAGGTCCGGAGTCTCAAAATGGATGCCAGCATTTGGACCAATGAACTCATTGAGGTAGGAAAGGATTGAGGTGGAAAAAGAAGAGCAGGAGAAGTCACCTATTACTTGGAAATTCATGGCATTTAAATGCACATTTCACAACAACTTGAAATCATTTGATAGTAACTAGCTAGTTATAATGTTCATCTTTCTTCCATCTTTTGTTTTCATTAAATTATTTTTTAAGGTTAAGCCTTTTCAAGATGGCTTTGATGGGACATAAATATTAACTATGGAAAAGTTTTTTTTTTTGTTCTTTTTTATTGGACACCTAAAGCCTTTTGCCCCTTTTGGGTTTGTGTCAACCTTTCCAGGTAGACCAGACAGGAAACACAACCAGATGAGCTAATTCTATCTAATTGTAAGGCCATGAGAATCTTGCAAGTCTGACACTACAAATCTCCCACCGTCTCTTTTATCACAGCCTGATAAATTAGGGAGGTCCCTTTCTGAGTTTCTTTTTCTGCCTATTATCCAGCTGCAGACTATACCTTCTTATCTGATCATTCTCTCCTTCTCCAAAAGTCCCACTTACAGTTGTGTGAAAAAGAAAGTACACCCCCTTTGAGTTCTATGGTTTTACATATCAGGACATAATAA